TTACCGTGCTCCCGCCTCAGCCATCTGGCAACTCAAGCTGAGCGTCGCCTCCTGCGTTGTCAGCCTTGGTATCCCTAAACCCTAAACCCTAGACCCCAAACCCTAAACCCTAAACCCCAAACCCTAAACGCCAAGCACTAAACCCCAAACCACCCCAAACCCCAAACCCCAAACCCCAAACGCCAAACCCCAAAGCCCAAACCCCTAACCCCAAACCCAAAACCCCAAAGCACCAAACCCCAAACCCTAAACCCTAAACCCTAAACCCTAAACCCTACACCCTAAACCCCAAAAAACCGCAAACCCAAACCCCCAAACCCCCAAACCCCAAACCCCAAACCCCAAACCCTAAACCCTCAACCCTAAAACCCTAAACCCTAAACCCCAAACCCCAAACCTTAACCCTAAACCCTAAACCCTTAACCCTAAACCCTAAACCATGCTTGAAGCCCTCCCGCGGCGAGCTCCCGCTGCGGTCTGACGCTTCAATGCAGTTCTGGAGGATCCTCTGAGCCCCCACTTCAGAAGGTTCATGGGTGCTTCGAAGTAGGGTTTAGGGTTTAGGGTTTAGGGTTTAGGGTTTAGGGTTTAGGGTTTAGGGTTTAGGGTTTAGGGTTTGGGGTACGTAAAAGTCGGGTTATAAGTACCTCAAGTAAGGCTATAACCATTGTTACCCTACTTTATGGCCCTACCTATAAAGTACCCATGAACCTCCAAGTAGAAGCTTGCTTCCTTCGCTTTTGTTTCGAAGGCTGGACTGGCTACAATGATACCTGGAGGTTCATGGGTACTTATAACCCCGATTAGAAGTCTCCTTAAACCTAACCTACTTAGGTGACTTGGGGGGCTTGTAATTGCAGTTACAATTGGGGGCTATAAGTCATGAACCTCCAAGTAAGGGAATGGTCAAGGGCCATAGAGAAACGATGTTGACACGGAGGAGAAGTTTACGAAATACATCTGACAGTTGGGCTCAAGAAATCCTAAGTCCTAAGCCCTTACGCCCTCAACTCCTAAACCCTAAACCCTAAACCCTAAACCCTAAGCCCTAAACCCTAAACCCTAAACTCAAAAAGCCTCTGGTTTAACGCAAGTTGGGCCTCTAGCGATGCAGGGTCTTTAAATCTAAGGGTAGTTACATGGGCCCTTAATATGGTCCCTTACCTCCTTCAAAGGTTCTGAAGTATGGGCCCTTGGTATATAAGGGGTAAGGGCTCCCCTTGCAAGGACCCATACTAAGGGACCATGTAGCTACCCTGCGACTAAAGGAGTTGCTTATGCATACGCCTTCCTCCTGGGTTTTCAGGGAGATTTGTCTGGGGTTTAGGGTTTAGTCGGGAATAGGGGTGTTTAGGGATTCTGTTGGTAAGCAGGGAATGGTGGCATGGGGTATTCATTAGCACATACTACTTTTTCCATTCCCTACTCCCTAAGTCCCGCACTAAGCCCTAAGCCTTAAACCCTCCCGACCTCACAGCAGCTGAGACGCCGAGAAACCTGGGCAGTTCGCAGTGCCAGCTACCAAGGCGGCTTGAGCCTAAATCCTAAACCCTAAACCCTAAACCCTAAACCCTAAATAAACCTAAACCCTAAACCCTAAACCCTAAACCCTAAACCCTAAACCCTAAACCCTAAACCCTAAACCCTAAACCCTAAACCCTAAACCCTAAACCCTAAACCCTAAACCCTAAACCCTAAACCCTAAACCCTAAACCCTAAACCCTAAACCCTAAACCCTAAACCCTAAACCCTAAACCCCAAGCTTGCTTCTTGAGGAGATGTTAGCAAAAAGGGCCTCGAACAGTCAAGCCGAGGCTTCTGCTTCCTGGGGGTGTCAGGGCTGGAAAGTATCTTGGAGGGTTCAGAATTTTAAGGTTTAGGGTTTCGGGGTTCAGGCATGTTGAGGCTATCGTTTCATGACCCGGTAGGCTTGTCTAATCGATGCCCGCCGCCCCTCAAGCCTAAGCCCTAAACCCAAACCCTAAACCCCAAGCCTTATACCCTTTGCACACGCTGGCTTACACGAGCCCTTTGCGTCTTTTGTCTTCGCGCCGCCCTGAACCCCAAGCCCTAAGCCCCAAACCCTAAACCCCAAAAACTTCCGCTCCAGGGTCCACAAATCGGTATTGGGCTTCGCTAGGCTCTGCATGACGACGTGGTCAGCTTCAATGCCAGCATCAGCAGCTGCACCAAAGCTACGGAGTGGTGGCTGGCTGTGCAGCTGCAGTTGCTGGGCTGTTCAGTCGTATCTTTGCTTTCTTGTTTTTCTTTGTATTTGGGCTCCGTTTGTGTGAGAACATCTCTATGAAGCATACATGCCACTACAAGTATTATTGATGAACAACCTAGGTCAAGAATGCCCACCACCAGGGTAGAAGCGACGGTCGCAACTTGACTTCGCAGAAAGGAGCAGAGAGCATCGCAAGCTTTAGGTTTAGGCTTTATGGTTTGAGTTTAGGGTCTAGGGGTTTGGGTTCAGAGTTTAGGATTTAGATCCTCTGATCCTCTTTGAGTATATGCCTTTATGAGTATATGCCCCGTTGCATTCTGGGGAATTTCTTTGGGTTTGGCCTAAGGTTCCCTAAACCCTGCAACCCTAAATCCCTAAACCCTGAACCCTAAACCCTGAACCCTAAACCCTAAACCCTAAACCCTAAACCCTAAAGCCCTGAACCCTAAACCCTGAACCCTAAAACCCTAACCCTTGAACCCTAAACCCTAAACCCTAAACCCTAAAGCCCTGAACCCTAAACCCTGAACCCTAAAACCCTAACCCTTGAACCCTAAACCCTAAACCCTAAACCCTAAACCCTGAACCCTAAAGCACTAAACCCTCAGCCCGATGCACATCAAAGGTCAGCCACACCGCGTGCCTCATCGCCTGGCAGGAATCTTGTTTGGTTCCCTACGTTAGGAAGGGTTTTGGGTCGAGGGGTGTTAATGTACCCTACTACCCCCTCAACCCTAAACCCTTCCTACGTCTAAACCTTATAAACCCTAAACCCTAAATCTTCTAAACCCTAAACCCTAAACCTACACCTCCAACCATGTTGGAGACTTCCCACCGCCAGAAGTCGACTCACTGATGCCTAAAGGGCCGGTGAGGGTTAAGAGGGTTAGGGTTTAGGGATTAGGTTTTAGGGTTTAGGGTTTCGGGTTTCACGATCATTTTGGGGTTCCTGCCCTTCAGCAGCGCCGGGCTAGGGCCGCGAAACCCTCAAACCCTGAAACTCTCAAACGCTCGAACCCTCACACCCTGAAGCCCTGAAGCCCTGAAACCCAAACCAAACCCTCAAACCCCTCAAGCTCTACCCCCAAGAATTCAAACCCCCAAAACTCCTCAACAACCCTCAACCACCCTCAAAAACCCTCCAACACCCTCAGAATCCTTCAAACACCGCCAAAACCCACCCTCAGCAACCTTCTAAACCCTCCAAACCTCCCCGCCCCCAGCCAAACCTCAACAACCTTCCGAACCCCCCCCCGCCCCCCAAGAAAAAAAGCCCTCAAAAACCCCTCAACAAAAGACCCCTCCCAAACAAAAAAAACCCATCACATGGGATCCCAGTCCGGCGGCCAGTGGCGCAGGGCACAGCGCCTCCTTTCCGCGATGCCTTCGGCGCACGTCGAGCCGAACGCGGTCACCTTCAACGCTGCCTGGAGGTTCCTCGAGTAGGGGTTGGGGTTTGGGGTTTGGGGTTTGGGGTTTGGGGTTTAGGGTTTAGGGTTTAGGGTTTAGGGTTTAGGAGGGTTTAGGAGGGTTTAGGAGGGTTTAGGAGGGTTTAGGACGGTTTAGGACGGTTTAGGACGGTTTAGGGTTTAGGGTTTAGGATTTAGCGTTTAGGGTCTAGGGTGTAGGGTTTAGGGGGGTTTAGGGTACTTCTAAGTAGGGTTAATACAAGTAGGGAATCATGGTTAGAACCTTAGTTAGGGTACTTCCTTCCCTACTTCTAGGTACCCGTGAACCTTCAAGTAGTGGTACCTTGGGAGATTGTCCACATCCCTTATCCCCGGTTCTTAGTAGGGAATGAGGAAGTTGTTGGGGCCCTATATATGCGCTTTACGGGAGCAGTTTTAAGGGGGCGTAGGATTTAGGATTGATTTCTTTCTTTTTTCATGCTGCTTTGGCGAGTTTTGTAATACTGGTAGTCAGAGGTTTAGGGTTAGGATTTTTTTTTGGAGGGCAGAGCGGCAACTGAGGCTAGCATAGGCGCCAGCGGCGGTGGAGGCGCAGTCCTAGAATCCACCATGGCAGTCTTTTCTAGATGATCCACCATGGCAGTCTTTTCTAGATGAACGGAGTTTCTGAGAGCAGGCCTGTGAAACCCTAAACCCTGAACCCTAAACCCTAAACCCTAAACCCCAAAACCCTCAACCCTAAAACCCTAAACCCTAAACCCCTAAGCTTCTAAGAAGCAGGTGGTTGGCTGCATTCGGTGCAGATGCTTTCCGAGATGGCCGCGGCGGGGGTAAGTGTCAACGTCATCAGCACCGGTACAGCTCTTGCGACATACCAGAAGCTCAGTAAAGCAAACATGTTTAGGGTTTAGGGTTTAGGGTTTAGGGTTTAGGGTTTAGGGTTTAGGGTTTAGGGTAAAACATAAATGTTCAGCAAGATACTTTCTAAAGACTTTAAATTTGGATGGGCTTAGGGTTTGGGTTGGCAGTGCCATCTCTTTGGCATCCCTATGTGATCATGATGAACTTGCGAAAATACCCATTCCATCAAAACGGGCCCTTGTTGTGTTTCTACAACAAGGGTTTTGGCGTCCAGGGTAGGGTTGGGTTTAGTGTTGTGTTTATGGGTTGCGTGTGTGTTTCTTTGCACAAACCCTAAACCGTAAAACCTAAACCCTAAAACCCTAAAACCCTAAAACCCAAAACCCTAAACCCTAAACCCTAAACCTAAACCCCCCAACCACCAAACCCCCCTGCTATCCCGAGTTGCTCGAGTGAGGAAGCAGGGCCGCTGGCAGGAGGCACTTCGCCTCTTTGTGGGCATGGCGCTTGGAGGCACGGGGAACTGGGCAAGTAGTGGTTGAGGGTTTCGGGTTTAGGGTTGAGGCTTGAGGGTTGAGGGTTGAGGGTTGAGGGTTGAGGGTTGAGGGTTGAGGGTTGGATAACAACCCCAACTAGGGTCTCTTTTAAGGATAATGTTAAGGGCGTTTCCGATATTTGAAAAAGGAACTCCTAACACATACCCCCTGATAAACGGATCCCCTCGTAGCAAGGACCCCAATACGGTACGCTGACTTTCGGAAACCCCACAACTGGCCCATAACTCTTCTGTATGCCCTAAAACCTATGCCCCAAAGCCTAACTCCCTAAACCCTAAACCCTAAACCCTAAACCCTAAACCCTAAACCCTAAACCCTAAACCCTAAACCCTAAACCCTAAACCCTAAACCCTAAACCCTAAACCCCAAACCCTAAACCCTAACCCTCCAGGGCTTCAGAAAGACCGGATCTGCTTCAACTCCACCGTGAGCGCCTGCGCGAAAGCTGGGGAGTGGTGCAGGGCTCAGGAGCTGCTTGGTTGCTGCTACTGCTTAGGGTTTAGGGTTTAGGGTTTAGGGTTTAGGGTTTAGGGTTTAGGGTTTAGGGTTTGGGGTTTGGGGTTTGGGGTTTGGGGTTTAGGGCTTTTGGGGTTTTAGGGGTTTTAGGGTTTAGGGTTAAGGATTGAGGGCTCGGGGTTTAGGGCTTAGGGTTTAGGAGGTCTAGGATCAATTTGCTTGTTTGCTTCTTCTGGTCTCCTTTGTCCGGTGGTACCCTCTACCTTTTTTGTTTGTTTATGGTTTCCCTTATCAAATAACCAACCCCAAAAAGGGTGCCCTCATCATAATATGTGTACTGGGCTACCATGTACACGAAGCCGAGGCTGCTCTCCCTCATGCTCCGCTCCGGCATCGAGGCGAACCCAATCAGCTTCAATGCCGGGCTCAGCGTCTGTGAGAAGGCGGGGGAGTGGTATCTAGGCGCGACCTTTGGTTATATCACCCTACTTCTACTAGGACCCAGAGTGGGCCCCATATGCCACTTTTTCGGGTATTTCCCTTTTTGTATTCCCAGGTTGCTCCGGACTCTGGTTTAAGGGCTTAGAGTAGTCTTGGGATCAAAGTTTTTGGACTGATTTTCAGAGGGCTCCCCGAACCCTAAACCCTAAACCCTAAACCCTAGACCCTAAACCCCAAACCCACTAAACCCACTAAACCCTAACCCCAAACCCTAAACCCTAAACCAGACAACCCAGGTATGAAGCCCTGCAGCTGCTGGCGCTCGCGTCGCGGAAGGCGGTGGAGGCCAACATCATCAGCTACAACACCTGCATCAGTGCCTGTGAGAAAGGCCGTGGGTCTGATTTCGGAGCGTCCCAAAAAAGGGTTTAGGGTTTAGGGCTCAGGGCTTCAAAGCCAACGAACAGGAGGCTGCTGGCAGATGGCGCTGCACCTCCTTGCGGAGATGACGGCTGTCCGGCTGACAAGGGATGGGATCAGCTTCAATGCTGCCATCGCCGCCTGTGGGCGAGCCTAGGACTCCCCAGTGGTCTCCTATGTTCCCGCCCTTTTTTTGGTGTTGTTTTATAACACTAAACCTAGGCCACCTTCTTTAGGGTCTACAAGGCGTATTCGTTTAGAGTTTGGGGTTCAGGGTTTCTTGGGAACTGAGGAGCCAGGCAGTGGCAGCAGGCGCTCCAGATCCTGTCGGACAGTGGGGGTCTTCACGGGGTTTAGGGTTTAGGGTTTAGGGTTTAGGGTTTAGGGTTTAGGGTGTTTCCCAAAACAGGCTTCAGGGTGCCGTTTTGGGGGATCCCTGAAATGAGGATCTGCATCTGGGGGGACAGATTATGGGTAAGCCTTTTTGGGGAAATGCACATGCTGGCTGTTCAGCTGCTGGAGGGTTCCCCAGCACAAGCCTCGTAAACCCCCGTAAGCTCCACAAGCCTGAGCCCCCAAACCCTAAACCCTAAACCCTAAACCCTAAACCCTAAACCCTAAACCCTAAACCCTAAACCCTAAACCCTAAACCCTAAACCCTAAACCCTAAACCCTAAACCCTAAACCCTAAAACCTAACCCCTAAACCCTAAACCCTAAACCCTAAACCCTAAACCCTAAACCCTAACCCCTAAACCCTAAACCCTAAACCCTAAACCCTAAACCCTAAACCCTAAACCCTAAACCCTAAACCCTAAACCCTAAACCCTAAACCCTAAACCCTAAACCCTAAACCCTAAACCCTAAACCCTAAACCATAAACCATAAACCCTAAACCCTAAACCCTAAACCCTAAACCCTAAACCCTAAACCCTAAACCCTAAACCCTAAACCCTAAACCCTAAACCCTAAACATAAGCTCCAATGTGAGCCCCTAAACCCCTAAGCTGCAAAAAGGACGGAACACCTAAACCCTCTCAACCCCTAGACCCCTAATCCCAAAATGCCCCTCAACCCTATACCCTAAACCCTAGCCCTTCTAAACTAGTCCAGGACATGCCCGCAGCCAGAGTTGCCAGAGATCTGGTGAGTTTCCGGGCTTCTGTTAAGTCTTTTTTTAATTCAATTTTTGTGGGCGGGATTATAGGGTTCGGGGTTTAGGGTACCCCTTCTGGGGGAGTTCCGATAGGCTCAGAGTTTGTTGGGGGTATATTCGGGGCACCCCCCCAATGTTGGAAATCCCCAAACCTTGCGCGTCGCAATAATACGGTTCAGGGTTTGGGGTTTGGCGGGCTTCAGGGTATAGGTTCCAGGGGTCATTGCTGTAAATGCCAGGATTTCCTCATTACGGTAACCATAGGGTTCAAGGTTTAGGGCTTTTCGGGTTTAGGGTTTGGGGTTTCGGGTTTAGGAGAAGTTGCGGGTTTCCTTCCTACGTCAACTTACAAAAACTTATAGGGTTCTTAAGGGAGGGGGTTCAAGGGGGGCCATGCCCCCTCGCCGTTAAGAACCCTAAACCCTAAACCCTAGACCCTAAATCCTAAACCCTAAACCCTAACCCCAAACCCTAAGCCCTAAACCCTAAACCCTCCCTGAACAAAAGCTTCCTGAACAGCCTCCCAGGCTTCAACGCCGGTATCGCTGCCGGGCACTGGGCTCATGCTCTTCAGTTCCTTGGGCTTAGGAGTGTTAGGCCCCACACCCTGAAACCCAAACCCTAACCCTAAAACCCACACCCTAAACCCCAAACCCTAAACCCTAAACCCTAAACCCCAAACCCTAAACCCCAAACCCTACACCCCAAACCCGAAACCTCAGTTCAGAACCTGTCTGAGGCTACTCGAGGAGCTTGCGGCTGCGCAACTGTCACTCGGACATTTGGAGGTGTTGCATCTTTTCCTCAGCGGGTTCAGGGTTTCGGGTTTAGGGTTTAGGATGTAGGGTTTAGGGTTTAGGATTTATATAGGGTTTCGGGTTTAGGGTTTAGGATTTAGGGTTTAGGGTTTAGGGTTTAGGATTTAGGGTTTAGGGTTTAAGGCACGCCCAGAGGATATTTAGATCTTCCCTTCTTGGGTTCAAGAGGAGCGCATTTTGGCACTCTTTTTTCAGAGGGCTTCAAGGGGCCAACCCAAGTTTCCCTCATTGGGTGTGAGAGAGATCTAAGGGTTTAGAGTTTAGGGTTAGGGTTTAGAGTTTAGGGTTTAGGGTTCCCAGACCCCAGACCCTGAAACTCAACCCTGCCGGCTTAGGTCAGCGGATGCCGTCAGCTGCACCGCCAGCATCAGCGCCTGCGAGAAGCGCTGGGAGGCAAGGCAGTTGGGGGGTTTAGGGGCTCAGGAGATTTTCACTCAGGGCCCCCGTATGAGTAGAATGTGGAGTATTGCACCCTTATCGCCCCACCCCTCAAAATCTTCGTTGTTTTTGCATGAACATCTTTTTCGGTTCATGCACAGCACGGAACATGAAAATCAGAGGGTCCAGGATGAGTTTTTGAGGGTGAGCAGGCTGCGCCCTGAAGGTGGCGTTGCACCTGCTTTCGGAGATGCCTGCGATGCAAGTGCAACTGGGATCGGCAAGTTTCAATGCCTCCATCAGTAGCTGCGGCGCAGGAGGACTGCCTTTCTAAGCCTCGAGCTCCGGAGTTTTTTTCCTGGACGCCCCCCAACATCCCAAACCCTAAAACCCAAACCCTAAACCTTAAGCCCTTCTTCCATCTGCGGCTTGGGGTTTTAAGTGTCGGGTGGGAGTGAAGGACATTGGCAAACGGCCCTCCGGCTGTTCCAAGAGATGCAGGAGCTTCGGATGGAGCTTTCCGTGGTGACCTTCGGGAACTCCATCAGCGCTTGTGCCAAAGCTGGCCAGTGGCAGATGGCTCTGCAGGTGCTTGCTGACATGGGCCCTGCCAGAGTCCAGGCAAGTGCGGTGGTCTTCGGGGCCGCCATCTCGGCTTGTGAGGCAGCCAGGTGTTGGCAGCTTGCGCTTCAGCTGTTTGCTGAGCTGCATCTCATGGGGGTGGAAGCTAGCGCCGTCACCTGCAATGCAGCGCTGTCTGCCTGTGCGGAATGTGGAGAGTGGCAGCAGGCTTGGTATTTGCTCCAAGAGATGCAGAGCAATACGATTGAAGCAGACCGAATCAGCTTCAATGCCACCATCAATGCATGTGGGAGGCAGGGACGGTGGCCGCTGGCATTGAGCCTGCTGTTTCAGATGCTGGCGAACCAAGTCGCTCCGGACAGCATCAGCTGCAATGCCGGCATCAGTTCATGCGAGAGAGGCAAGTCCCATGGTTTTTGTGACATGTATCAGACAGCCACAACCACAAAACCCAAGACTCTGAACCTTATATAGACCCTCTAAACTTCAAACCTGAAGCCCTAAAGCCTGAAACCCTAGACCACAAGCGCCCGAAGCAGTGTCCTGCGAAGGGGGGCAGTGGCAGATGGCGCTTCGACTGCTGGCCCACCTTCCGGCCTTACGAATTCATGGGGACGTTGGCACTTGCTACGTCGCGGCGGAGGCTTTAGAGGCTCGGCGAAATATGGTGGCTTCCGAAATGAGGGTACCGGATGGGGGGGTCCTTATCATAAGGTGGTGCGGGAAGCCAATGCCTCGCTGAGACGTCTTAAACCCCGAACCCCAAACTCCAAACCTCTAGCCGAGACCTTTCAGGGTTTAGGCTTTAGGGTTTAGGGTTTAGTGTTTCGGGGTCAACGCAAGGAACATGCAGGGCAGTGGCAGCTAATGCCGTGGCTCTTGGCCAGTGTGCCGGCGGAGGGCTTGGCCCACAATCTCAGCGAGGATGCCGCTGCATGGAGCAAAAAGGGCAGGTCGGGGGTCTGAGTGCAAATCGCCAGGCACGGTGCACGGAACACCCTGGTGGACAAGACAAAGCGCCACGCGAAACGTCGTCAAGAAGCCCAAGCAATTGACTTAGGGTTGGGGGTTTTGTGTTAAGGGTTCCGGTTTTAGAGTTTAATGTGTATTTTGTATCTCATATTGAGAAGGCAGACCGGTCGCTTGTGCCCGCTTTAGGCTGGTCAGTTGTGCCCGCCTTAGGCGGGTCACTTGTGCCCGCGTACGTGCCTCAAATCACAGCAGGGCCGCACGTCGGGCCACCTCCCGCCAAAACGCAGACCTGTCACTTGTGCCCACCTGTCGGTCTTCCGTGCAGGCGCATTGGTCAACAACAGTCGTTTTTATGCCCCTCGAAACCCGAACCCTGAACCCAGAAGGAACTGACCCGAGGCCTTGTGTGGAAAGCTTCCCTTGGGTCAGATGCCTGTAAACACCCAGCCCCCCCTTCCCCCTTCCCCCTCCACCCCCTCCCAAGCACTCCGGCTGACCGTGCAGGGCGCATCGGGCAACAACAGTCGTTTTTATGCCCCTCCAAACCCGAACCCTGGACCCAGAAACAACTGACCTGAGGCCTTGCGTGGAAGGCCCCCCTTGGGTCAGATGTCTGTAGACGCCCAGCCCGCCCAAGCCCCCCCTCCCCCCCCTTCCCCCTCCACCCCCTCCCAAGCACTGCGGCTGACCGTGCAGGGCGCATTGGTCAACAACAGTCGTTTTTTTGCCCCTCGAAAGCCTGGACCCAGAAACAAACTGACCTGAGGCCCCCCTTGGGTCAGATGTCTGTAGACGCCCAGCCCGCCCAACCCCCCCCTCCCCCCCCTTCCCCCTCCACCCCCTCCCAAGCACTGCGGCTGAGCGTGCAGGGCGCGTTGGTCAACAACAGTCGTTTTTGCCCCTCGAAACCCCCCCCCCCTCCCCTCACCCGTTTCCAGGGCGGGTGACTGGGTGTGGTGTGTGGCGTCAAACAAGCTTATTCTTATCCCCCCCCCCTTCCCCCTCCCCCCGTTGCAGGGCGGGTGACTGGATGCGGTTGTGTTGAGCGCGTCAAACAAGCTTATTCTTGTCCCCCCCCTCCACCCCCCTCCCCCCTCCCTCACCCGTTAGGACTGGATGTGGTTGACTGGATGTGGTTGTGTTGCCCCCCCTCCCCCCTCCCCTCACCCGTTTCCAGGGCGGGTGACTGGGTGTGGTGTGTGGCGTCAAACAAGCCCCCCCCCCTCCCCCCCCCCCCTCCCCCCCCCCCGCCCGTTGCAGGGCGGGTGACTGGATGTGGTTGTGTTGAGCGCGTCAAACAAGCTTATTCTTGTCCCCCCCCCCCCTCCCCCCCCCTCCCCCCTCCTCACCCGTTGGGACTGGATGTGGTTGACTGGATGTGGTTGTGTTGACCGCCTCAAACAAGCTTATTCTTATCCCCCCCCCCCCCCCCCCTCCACCCCCCCAGAAACGTGGGCACAAGTGACGGGGTACGTGGGCACAAGTGACGGGGTACGTGGGCGCAAGTGACCCGAACCCGCGTGGGCACAAGTGACCGCGATCGTGTGGGCACAAGTGACGGGGCTGCCTATTGAGAACCCCCCCCCCCCCATCAATTCGACAAACTATCACCTGTCGGGGTGAGGTTTCTCAATTGAGGGGGGGGGGGTTCGTATTTGAGTTCCGGACCGGGGTTTCTGAATTGAGTGACATGTATAACATGAGGTTGACAGTACCAGTATTTTTTACGGACCTTTTGCAGTTACAAGACAAACTTACCCAAATGCGCATTCTAACTCAATAGCTCCACCCACCCCCCCCCCTCCCCAAACCCGAAACCTCGAACCTTAAGCATGCCCCTACATGAACTACAGTACACGGCTTATGTCGGACGAACAGCCTTGACCCTAAACCCTAAACCCTAAACCCTAAACCCTAAACCCTAAACCCTAAACCCTAAACCCTAAACCCCAAACCCTTGATCCTTGACCCTTGACCCTAAACCCCGATTTTTTCACCAACCAATCCGTGTGAAAACCGACGTGGCCACCCTCACAAGTCGACCTCCCAGAGGGCGTGTCAGCTGAAGGCAAGTGCCATTCAACAAAGGCAGGTTCAGGGTTCAGGGTTTAGGGTTCAGGGTTTAGGGTTTAGGGTTTAGGGTTTAGGGTTTAGGGTTTAGGGTCGCCCCTGAACCCAAACCATCCAAACCCCCACGGAGGACTAGACTCTAAAAATGGAGCCAGTTCAGTAGAGGCTTTTGGTTGCCTTTTTCCCAGCATGGCCCGAAACCTGAATTCCCAAAGCCTGAACCCTAAACGAGCGTACCTTCTTGCGTACCTCAATTCAATGGGCCCCTTATCCTGAACCCTAAACCCTAAACCCCAAACTCAATGCCCGGGGGACCCCACCCTAACTGACCCGAAACCCTAAACTCTAAACCCTAAACCCTAAACCCTAAACCCTAATCTTCCAACCCTAAGGCTTCGGGCGGGGGCTAGGACTTTAGCTGGCCGCGGGCCATTGACGACTACGAGCGGCACTTCGACTGGACCATGGCGGACGCCGGTCTTGCAATGGCAAGCCCCTATAAACCCTTAACCCTAAGCCCTAAACCCTAAACCCTAAACCCTAAACCCTAAACCCTAAACCCTAAACCCTAAACCCTAAACCCTAAACTGAAGACCGGCCCCTTTCCAGCGATAGGGGCCGGTCGTTAGCAGGCCACCGGCAGGGGCCTGCGGACCCGTAGGCGAAGGCCGAAAGGCGAGCCGTAGGGTCCTGGACCTCAGGTCCACGCGGCGCTCGAATAGGCCGCTTCTGTCAGCCTATATAAAGATAGCCCTAAACCTTCGTGCAAACGACCGGGCGCCCCTGAAAACCTCCCCCTGGGTTCATAAAGGCCCGAAAGCTTAAATGAAGAGTTTGGGAACCTGAAATTAAGGCCCGGAGGCTTAAATTCAGGGTTTGGGCATTCAAAATTAAGGCCCGGAAGCTTAAATCAAGAGTTTGGGAACCTCAAATTAAGGCCCGGAGGCTTAAATTAAGGGTTTGGGAACCTAAAATTAAGGCCCGGGGGCTTCAATTCAGGGTTTGGGAGCCCACCTTTAAGCCCTACCTTCAAGGCCCGAAGGCTTAAGTTAAGGGTTTGGGAACCGAAACTTAAGGCTTGGAGGCTTAAATAAAGGGTTTGGGAACCTAAAATTAAGGCCCGGAGGCTTAAATTAAGGGTTTGGGAACCTAAAATTAAGGCCCGGAGGCTTAAATTAAGGATTTGGGAACCTAGAATCAAGGCCCAGCGGCTTAAATTACGGGCTTGGGAACTTAAAATTAAGGCCCGGAGGCTTAAATTAAGGGTTTGGGAACCGAAAATTCAAGCCAGGAGGCCTAAATTAAGGATTTGGGAACCTACAATTTAAGCTCGGAGACTTAAATTATGGGTTTGGGAACCTAAAATTACCGCCCGGAAGCTTAAATTAAGGGTTTTGGATTAAGGGTTAGGAACCTAGAATTACAGCCCGGGGGCTGAAATTACGAGTTTGGGAATCTAAAATTAAGGCCCGGAGGCTTGAATTAAGGGTTTTGGAACTTAAATGAAGGGTCGGAGGCTTAAATTCAGGGTTTGGGAACCCACGTTTAAGGCCCGGAGGCTTTAATAAAAGGTTTGGGAACCTGAGAAAATTAGGCCTGGAGGCCTAAAATAAGGGGTTTGGGAACATAAAATTAGGGCCCAGAGGCTTAATTAAGGGTTTGGGACCTTAAAATAAAGGTCCGGAGGCTTAAATTAAGGGTTTGGGAACCTAAAATTCAGGCCCGGAAGCTTAAATTAAGGGTTTGGGAATTCCAAATTAAGGCCCGGAATTTAAAATTCAGGCCCAAAAACTTAAATCAAGGGTTTGGGAATTTAAAATTAAGGCCCGGAATATAAAATTAAGGCCCGGAGGCTTAAAATAAGGGTTTGGGAACCTAAATGAAGGGTCGGAAGCTTAAATTAAGGGTTTGGGAACCCACGTTTAAGGCCCGGATGCTTAAATTAAGGGCTTGAGAACCTAAAACTTAAATCAAGGGTTGGGGAACCTCAAATTAAGGCCCGGAGGCTTAAATTAAGGGTTTGGGACTTTAGAAACACAGGCCCGGAGGCTTAAATTAAGGGTTTGAACATGCTTTGAAAGTTTGCTAAGACCACAGAGTGGAATCGAGTCGAGCCTGCTGCTTTTGCCGTCGCCAATCCTGAAAGGGCTTGAAAGTCTTCCAGGGACCACGGAGTGGAATCGAGTCGAGCCTGCCGCTTTTGCCGCAACCAATCCTGAAAGGGCTAAACGTCCAGCCTTGAAAAGGTTTCGAAGAACTGCTGAGTGGAAACGAGTCGAGACTGCTGACGGTTGCTCATTTTGGGGGTTCTGCTCTACCAAACCATATATCCCCCCTTGATAGGGGGGTAGGGGGGTAGACAACCCTAAACCCGTCCAAGGTTTGTATTTTGGGCGGGAGGGGGGGCATTGCAGCCATGCGCCGACCCCCAACCACTTCATGGAGGGGGTCGAAGCGCACTCGCAGCGAAAACCCTACACCCTAAACCCTAAACCCTAAACCCTAAACCCTAAACCCTACACCCGAAACCCTCAACCCTACATGGAGGCTCATTTGTACGTTTAACCCCAATTGTAGCTGCACTTATAAGCCCCCTAAGTCCCCTAAGTCCCCTAAGTAGGCTATAAGTAGACATATGATTGGGTCATAAGTACCCATGAACCTCCAAGTACACCTTAAACCCTAACCCCTAAACCCCTATCCTCCGTTTAAAGCGCAGAACCCTCATTCCCAAGCACTAAGTACTAAGTGGCTTAACTTTCAATAAGTTCGGGTTGAGGGTTGACGAGTTCATATCGTGTCCAAAGTGCCGGCCCTAAACCGTGTTCCCCAAACCCTACCTGTGACTCCCAGGCCTTACAAAACTGTAGAACAATAACCCCTAAATGTGCGGCTTCCCCCCCCTCAAAAAAAAAGCAGAGTAA